GGGCCTCGCGGCCCCGCCCCTGGCCATCCGGGGGCCGACCGCCCGGCCCAGGCCCGCTGCGCCCCGCATGCTCTACAATAAGGAAAGCACCAGCCGGGGCCCTCCCTGGTGGCGCGGCGGGTTAAAGCGCAGCTCTGCGCTGCAAGCCGCAGCCGCCTCAGCGCGAGTTCCATCACCCAGTCTGCTCCCCGCTCTGTCCCTGCTGAATCCTGTCACCGCCCCGAACCACGGGCCTGCACCCCAGTTCCGTCTGCGTAAATAAAAGAAAAGGAAAGCCATCACCCTGGTTTGCATGGGCGTAAGGTCTGCAGAGCCCACCTGCCGCCTCGGCTTGCACCGAGGAAGGAGGCGCGGCCGCCCAGCACCTGGGGCGTGCAAGTACGACCACGAGGACGGAGCCGCACACCTGCCCACTGGCCCAAGTCAGAACCCTGACAACGCCAAGTGCTGGCAAGCCCCAGGCGCCGCAGAAAGCCAGGCCTTGCCGCTGCAGACGCCGTCGCAGCCTCCGGGGAGGGAGTCCGGCGGCTTCTTACCACATTCGGACTCTCCTGACCAGCAGCGCAGCCGCGGCTCGGATACGGTGCAGGGAGAGCGTCGCTCCCCCTCGGCCACGGCGGCAGCCGGGCACCAGCTCCGTGCGTCGCGTCTCCTGCACGTCCACGCGCATCACCTCCCCCCGGTGGGCTCACCGCGCTGCTTGCCCGCGCAGCCGGAACGCGACCTCCGTGACCCCAGAGACTGCCAGCACGTAGAGGTCCCCGTAGAATGAGCGATGGGGTGACAGAAACGCTGTCTGCAGCGAGCGCCGGTTCGAAAGGGGTGCACGAGTGCCGCGCCCCTGCCGGGAGGAGACATCTGGCACAGCCGACCTGGAAACTGGGTATCTTGGCAAATACAAGAGCCCCGATGCGCACCGAGAAACTACCGTCCTAAGACACCGTGACTCAGGTAGCGGGCCCATCGGCCGTTTGCCGCTGGTCACGGCTTCCCGTGACCGCTCGGGAACAGCTTCAGCGCCAGTTTCCCAAAGAATAATTTGATAGCGGAGCTATCGTCACCCCTCAGCACAGAAGGTGGCCAATCATGGCCCATCCAAACTGAGGCCTCCCGTAGACGCTTCTCACATAATGTCATCAAGGACACGTTTCCCAGTGGTATAATTTGGTTTAATTTTTCTTAAATATATGTACACACACAACTGGCCCAGCCCAGCGACCCCTGCCCAGAAGCTGAGAGCTCACCGCCCTGAGTCGGGGGCCCAGCTCCGGCTCCGCGTCTCCGAGGAGGCTGCGCCGCCAGGGAGGGCCCCGGGCTGGTGGCTTTCTTATTGCTGAGCTGTAAACGCTGTTTACATATTTTGGACAGCTCGCCTGCCGTGTGTCGTCTCTCGCATGTTCATGGCAACCTGTGCCTGCCCTTTTCATCCTCTGGACCACACAGGTCTTAAACACCTTCGAGAACGGGATCAGTCGCCAAACCGTTCTCATCTCCTCTCCCCTCCCCAGTCAGGAGCTGGGTTTCCCAGGCCTTTCAAACGCGCGTTTCCTCCAGTGGGTGTTTTGCTGTCAGAAAAGCAGCGCTGGGGTCCCTCAGGACTCCTGGGGGCTCCTCAACAGTGCCTGAGCCAGGAGAGTGTCTGCGGCGCGTAGCTGCTGATGCTGCTGGTCCGGCTGCTGCCAACCCCCATTGTCCCGGCTTTATTTTCGCTTCTCACACA